TGTCATTTTCTTTACGTTTTCTGACTAAAAGCAACCAAAAAGCCATTTTAAAGTGGTTAAGCAAATAATAATAATAATAATAATCGGCAGGGATCCCAGACCAATACAATTATTGTGCCTCCTCTATTTTAAAACCCACGAGCCGCCACTGTCTATAATAGAAATACCTGCAACTTCAACAACTGCAGTCTTACTGGGGAACTGGGGAAGTCGTGGCCTAATGGTTAGAGAGTCGGACTCGTAACCCAAAGGTTGCGGGTTCGAGTCTCGTACCGGCAGGGATTGTAGGTGGGGGGAGGGAATGTACAGCGCTCTCTCCCACCTTCAATACCACGACTGAGGTGCCCTTGAGCAAGGCACCGAACCAAAAAAATGGCTGCCCACTGCTCCGGGTGTGTGTTCACGGTGTGTGTGTGCACTTTGGATGGGATAAATGCAGAGCACTAATTCCGAGTATGGGTCACCATACTTGGCCACATGTCACATGTCACTTCACTTACCGTGGTATCTGCAGCAGTCACCGCGGTCGTGGGAATGTGTTTAGGGGCCATGTTTGTGGACTGACACACCACACAGCCCTGTGGCCCCAAGGTGACGATAACTGAACCACAACCTTTGTTTAGCAGCTCCAGGCCTACTTGACTGGCATCCTCCACTGAGGTAACGGACAGACCCGTCAACAGCTCTGCCTAAGAGGAACACCACAAGATAATGAGGAAACAGTCACATTTATGCTAATAACAGCTATGCTAATAGCTAAAATGAAACTATGCTAGTATGTATGCATTCTAAAACACAGATACAGTTGCCAGAAACATACTATATGTCCAATCATGCAAATGCTTCTAGCTAAATAAACATGATTTTATGTGTAGTTGCTTTCTGAAATGTATCAGGGCAAAGTTTAGAAAGCAATGCAAGGTATTCTCAGCTACAGCATGCATGCAGCATGCAAATTAACAGTTTTCATTTTCAGATCAACTATTGTCATAGCTGAGCAACAGTTTAAAGAGAATCTGGCTGATTGAGTTACTTAAAGTTGGTATTAACACAATATTACAACATCAGTTCATTGCATCATGGACCAACAATGACTGAACAATATCTTCTTTAGCATTTATAAATCTAGTTTAATGTTTTTTTTTTCAAGTTGGATACATTGATATTAGTCAATACAGTATATTAACAAGAAACATGAATTAACAAAAACAGTAGCATTATTTTTTTAAACAATCATTAATCTAGATTGATATATGATATAATAAATTGTTGTTCATTGTTAGTTAATGACACCCAGTGCATTATTTCTATTAACAAATTTAACCTATTGTAAAATTTAAAAAAGTTGGCTAAACTGTTGACTTAGCTAGATAACTAAATAACAACATGGTTTAAAGTTAATATGAAACAGTAGTATTTAAAGCTGCAGTCCGTAACTTTTTTTGGTTAAAAATGATCTGAAGTCAATATTTGAGCAAGTTCATAACCAAGCCAGTGTTTAAAACTATCGCCTTACTTTAGCCCGATTCACAACGGTTATCTTATAATAATGTTTTCTAATTTGAGTGGTACGGGTAGGTTTTCGCGGGAAATTCGAGAATGGCACTGCGTCATTACGTCACGTCTGTAAACATAAAGAAATTGTCCCGGCTACTAGGCTATCGCATGTGAGGATCCTGCAGGTGGCCGAGCGTTTATAGCCTTTTCTCAAAGCAGCTATAATTAAATGTATCATTTTGATGGCGGATTGTAATCCATAAAGGATTATGTGTTTATGAAACACATGTGAATGAAATTAAATTATATTCCAGTTATAAATGTGCTTTTGATTACAGTTAGCCTGGGATTACAAAGATTTGTATTTTAAAGAAAACCAGTGCGAAGGGAGCATAATTTGCTTTTTGGGTTAAAAGAATTTCTTAAAATTAAATTCGAAGAGTATGACACTTAGATTAGACTGTGCAGAAATTGAAATCTACACGCTAATACACACTATACTCATAGTCACCAATGCTGATGTTGTTAACATTAATCATTTGAGAATAAAGTATAACAATAATAATAATTTGAACAGTTTGATGTGATATGAGCTAACCGATCTTTAGGTTTAATCACCATTGGTAGAGATTTATGGTAATGCTTTTTTCCTCAGTTGGTCAGAACAAACGTGGCAGACTTGTTACTTACTTGTTCAGATTGCAATATACGGTGAAAATTCTTATTTGGGTCATATTCCAAGACTTAGGCTAGAATCTGTGATTGCGAAGTACAGTAAATATCCACACCGGTGTGGTGACTGACTGCCACACACACATACTCTTCAGGGGTGCATTTCCAAAAAGCATCGTTAGCTAACTATGGTAGTTAGTTCCATTGAAATCTATTGGTAATGACGGCACTTGCGACCATAGTTGCTTTTGGGAAATGCACCCCAGAACATTAGATTCATCCGCCCTGGAGCCGTGCCGACTCACAACCCACACAAGCTAGATAATTCACACAGCTGCAATTCCAGGTTTTGATGGCGACAAAGAGGCAAAACTTACGAACTGCAGCTTTAAGTAATTAGACATATTTTATTTTGAAACAGACAAACAGAAAAAACTGTTAGGCCAGACACAATTTTATCCATTAGGAATTGTTTGTATCATGAAACATGATAGAAACATGTATAATGTGGGTGTTACAGCATGAAAATGGAGAATAAAGAGAAAACTTAGAGGGATTGCAGAACCTGCTCTTTTAAGACATGATACAACTTTAATTTTATGAACTGAATCAAGCTGTGCACAATAAGACCAGGAATGAAATGACCACCATCACCCCTTTTTTTTTTGCTGAGATTTATTGCTGCCAAAGTTACCACAAATAATTTTTCAATATTTACCACTTTATGTGATTACACAGAACTGGCTGAAGATTAGTGGTTAAGAATATGGAGAAGAAAGGACAAAAACCATACATGATGTCATTCATGAATAACAGAGGGTATAGTGTATGCTGCAGGTGTGAAGGATAGCCCCCACTCAAGCCCACCAAAAGAGTGGAGATAGAACTGAAAGATCAGGTCAATTAGTATCCCTTTTGTACTTGTGTACTTGAAGCTTTGCCATCAATCTTTCCTAGCTGGCTGCCAAAACAAAAAAAGTGCACACATTACTCATCAATGTGTGGTTATCTGATTCTGTAAACTGCTGATGATTCATCATTCACTCTTGCAACTGATGGCGTCGGGTGAGAGCCAAGCGGGTACACGAATGTGTGCGCTGGGACGAGGGCTGAATCTAAGGGGTTGATTTGTACTGAGGGCTCTCACTTTTAAGTCCCACCTGTGCATTTTTCCCCCTCCAACCTCCCAGCCACATCAAAGCTGCCCTGACGGAGCACTCTGGTTCAAACTTTCAGTCACGCCGGAACTTTTGCCCCAGGCCACACTGACACACCATCTGTGCATCTGCCTGCCTGGTTGTGGCTGCTTTAACTTTACTGTTTCCCATCAATTCAATCCCTTGTCTGTCATCTTGCCCTGCCACGATGTGAGAGAGGGCGGCCCCTAACATAACAGTTACTGTAAGACACAACAGCCAACCCCATAATTTCTTGCATTTGGCAGGTAGGTGACTTTTTGGGCTGTTGTATTTTGTTTCTAGTATGCAGGTCATGACCAGGCAAGGTAACTGAGCTCTTGTTTTACTCTAGTTGCCTTCTTCAACGAACCTGAAGACCTATTTGGAAAATAGGCTCTTCAGGTTAATGCAGCCAACATACAATTTGGGTTCAAAGTTAATGTCAAACTGCTTTTTGCAATTGGTATTCATTATTTAATGTTCATTTATAACTTTATAATGACATATTTTACTTTAAAATGGCAGCACACTAGCAACTCACAAAAAATCATTCTGAACACCTAAGCATAGCAACACCCTGGCAACCACCCACAGAACCATAGCAATGTGGAGCAAATTTAGCTTGTTTATGTGATATTTTGTATGCAATGTGACTACGGTAATATTGTTTTTCACCTCAGATTCATTGCAGCAGAAAACATCAGATGCTTTGTAGAAATCAGAACACAGGTCTGCAATAGCTGGAGCTGGATTATGGTCTTCACTGTAAGAAACAGAAAATATTATTCAGATATTATATCACATATACAGATATCATATAACCCAGATATTGGGTTACATGAGAACTTTTTTTTCTTAGAAAAAAAAGTGATGCAAATACCACAAGTAAAAATGTAAACACCAAGGTAAATAATTTCTATGATGTCAAACTATTGTTATGAGTTATTATAAGCGGCGTGCACGCAGACACAGCTCAGTCACAGATACTGACATACCGCAGTTCACATCAGACAGTCAGTATGAAACTTGCCCTCTGAGCTACTTGCATTCATTTGATTTGACATAATCAAACTTTGCTCTTTTCTCGACATAACCATAGTTTCATAACAACGTCAATCTTTGGTTATCGGTTCCTTTTCTCTTTCTTTCTCTCATTCCTAAACTTAAAATGTTTTGTAAAACTCAACCACAGGAAGTAACTGTAACCAAAGCATCTCCTTCCTGTCCGTTAGGGGATTTCTAGTAAGCTTAGTAAACGACGCAATTTAAGAGGTGGGAATATTTAGTATGTCATAAGGAACATTTCTGCTGAATAATTTCTCCCAGGGTGAAGATGATCTTAACTAGAAAAAGATGTTCATATTGGATGTACAAATTTTGTCTATTGTTGCTCATGAATTGATGATTAAAAGGACCTATAATCAAATATGCACAAAGACATTTTGTAAACCTTATATTTTTAGTGTGGTAGTTCCCAATTAGGTGCCCACAGGATGAATTAAAATGATTTAGTTTAATATATATATATATATATATATATATATATATATAACCACTGCTTTAGTAGACCTAAAAAGTATTTGGACAATAAAGCCACACTTAAAATTTTTTCAATTACTGTACTTTTTTATAATTACTTTGAACCAATTAGTCCCAAGAAAATTTTTGCGTTTGTGGTCAGGTACCTTCAAGTTCACACAGGCGTCTTAGTTTAGTCCATCACATTAACTAAAGACATGTTCCACAGTAAAAATAGTGTTTATCACTATTGTTTTATCATAAATATTAAAGCAGCATACTTCTTTTATCATTTAAAGCCACACTTGAGGCTACTGTGTATCTTGATTTACTTGCACAGCATTGGCTATTACATACAGTCCAATACATCTGGTTAATTTGACTTAAAAGTAAGAATACAGTAAAGGTTTAATCATAGCAGAGCTGTAACACATCAACAGTTTATCATGTTCCAACGTGAGTTGTCAGCCTCTTAACGCATTCCCTTCCCCTAAACGACATTTTAAATTCACTCAGTGCAAACTTTGCTCTTACATGTTAAAGAATTCTGTGCTTTGAACATAAAATTCACACCTGTTTTTCATATTCATATTCATATTTTGAAGATTGTCCTAGCTGGTATTTTCTCATTAAAACTGTAAAATGAATGGTGATTTAGACTGTCAAGCTCCAAAGAAGACAAAGAAGCAGCATGAAAGTACAATAAATGTAGTTCATACGACTGGCGTGCTATATTCCGCAATAATCCCATCGTGTTCAGCCAGGAATCTTGGGGTGATCCTTGATGATCAGCTGACCTTTAAGGATCATATTACAAAATCAGCATGATAATGCAGGTTCGCACTACACAACATCAGGAAGATCAGACCCTTTTTAACAAAGCATGCAACACAGCTTCTCGTCCAGGCCCTTGTCATTTCTAGGCTGGACTATTGCAATGGTCTTCTGGTTGGACTTCCATCATGTGCAATTAGACCTCTGCAAATGATTCAGAATGCAGTAGCACGTCTTGTTTTCAATGAGCCCAAGAGAGCCCATGTCACACTGCTCCTCATCTCTCTGCACTGGCTTCCAGTCACGGCTCGCATCAAGTTCAAGATATTGGTGCTTGCCTAGAGAACAGCCACTGGCTCCACATATTCCTATCTCCGCTCACTCTTACAAGTCTATATCCCCTCCAGAAACCTGTGGTCGGTAAACGAGCAGTGGCTCGTGGTCCCATCGCAGAGAGGCACAAAATCACTCTCAAGTACGTTTTCTTTCACTGTACCCTGTTGGTGGAATGACCTACCTAACTCCATCCGGACAGCCAAATCCCAGACAATCTTCAAGAAACAACTGAAAACTCATCTCTTCCGTGATCATCTAACTGCCTCCCAAAAAAAAAAAAAATTCTATGCCTTCACTTTTTCTATTCTCTTATTATCCTTTATCCCTTCCTGTCCTAGCTTTTAATATTTTGAATGATGACTGCAACCTTGTATAGTGTGCACTTCTCGTGTTTTATTGCCATCTTATAATAAATCGCTTGTTGTATTTCTCAATTGTAAGTCGCTTTAGATAAATAAATAAATGTAAATGTAAATTCCGATAAATGTTCTGAGAAACAGACTGAAATGAAGATGTTATTCACTGCAAATTATTTGTGTGTGTGTGTGTCCTTGTTGGAGTTTTGCTGTCTGAAACATTGAGGGAATTTTTTGGGTGAACTGCCTCTCTAATGAAAGTGAGAGTGTTTTAGGAATAGGCAGTGTGCCCCTAGTTTCCTCGAATGAGCTAAAGAGAAATCGATATGCATCGATAAGTGGACAACGTAATATGGAAGAGGAGGGAAATAATGAAGGAAAATAAGTGGCAAAACTAACGAGCACATGAGATGAATGAGTGAGTCGTGTGAGAGTTCACTGTTCAGAGATGCTTTATAAAACTCTAAATGAAAAACATCAGAAGCACAAGTTAAATGTGAGCTAAATTCATGCTAGAGTGATCAAACATTCCTTCAGTAGCCAATCTCAAGTATGAAATTACATGTTAGCTACATAGAAGCTTTGAAGTTAACTGGAATTAACTACACTTGAGGAGAGAATTCGAGGCTAAATGGTCCTTATATTCATTTATTTGAAAATGCGGTTAGGAAAACAGAATCCGGATTCTTCTCCAGTGAGCCTGTGGGGGTGGCATGTGCGTAATCCAAGCCTTGAGCTCCGGCGAAGTGCTATTTGCGCACGTCATTGTCTGATGAATTCATCCCAAGTGATAGGCGCATAATCTGGGCTAATGGGCTGTCTCTTAACACTTAATATGGCCCGCTAACGGGCTAAACAGCACGTATCTGGGAAGTTCTGAGGTGGTGAATGTGAATATCGAGGTGCGTTGGTGTGGAGAGGGGGGGTTATCCATCTGTGTCATCCATCTGTGGAATAGGCTTGTTGCATCATTGTGCATCTCCATGACATGGATACAGGGTGTCTCTGATCAGCGGGGACCTGAACATACAAGGTGCTAATGATATCTGAGACACAGCCGGTTGTGTTATTTTCTATGGGAGGAAAGAGTCGTGCTTTGCTCTCACCAATCATTCGGTATAAGGAGCTAAAAATAGTTTTTAGAAAGTGGGAGTGGAGTTTTAGTTTTTGGAAAGACGAGGAAAAGGAACTAAACTATTGTTGATAAACGATTATGCTATTGCACACATGTAACCCGTTGGCAAATATACAGAGAGACCACCACAACAGTGTGGAACAAGAAGTTATTTTATGAAACACAGTAAGACCTGGACAGTATTTAAGGGAAAGGCTGTAACTGAAAACTGAATGCTGATACTTTACCTGCGTACATACAGTATACTCACTTAAGGCAATATACTCTATATACCTAATCTTGGCTGTGTGATTGTTTACATTGTCGCAAAAATGTAAACTGCTTCATTGTACAGCTCTCATATATATAGTAAATGCAATTTTGTTTGCATACATACACTGTAAAAATGTATTGTGATTTTAATGGTAAAAGACGGAAAAATCTGCCAATTCTCCTCCTTAGCTTGTGGAAAAGCTGCTTGTGATGAGCTTTGATTCATCATGTGACTTTCTCATCAAGGTACAAAACATTAGTACTTCAATAGGTTGGTATATTAACATTATATTTGGTGCATTCGACTTGAAGCACGGCTACAGACGGCGATCAACGAGAGTAGCCGCTTGCAGTCAGGGGCGGTGTTGAAAACGGGCACGGCAAGCCGGACACTTTCTGCTCCCGTTAAGTGATGCTCACACAGTGTTTTCATACTCTTTCACAGATGAAGTGAATAAAATGCAATATTTGTCAAATACACAGACGTTTCAGAAACGTTTTCATGAGCAACAGAAACACTTTTTATATACTGCTTAATACAGCGTCATCTGTTCAAGAATAAAGTTCAACGTAAATATATACTATCGTGAAACAGCTGTGTCGTCATCAGCACTCCTGCAGTCGCTCTGAAAAAGCTGCGCCAGCTGAGTCAGCCGGCTGCTCTCGAAACGCTATCACAGTACTTTGATGCCACACGTGACAGTGACGTGGCATCGGCGCCGGTTTAAGTCGGACTAAATTTCTAACAGGCATGCACTGCGTCAAGTCAGCCGCCGATCGGTCTGCGCAGTGCTGCATGAAGTCGAACGCACCTAAAGTCACGGAGTCAACAGCAAAGCCAGATCCTTCAGCTCCTCCCACTTGTTCACATTCACCCGAATACTGATGCACTCCACCTGTCATCACAAATCAATCCAGGTATAAAGCCACCATCACATCCCTTCCTCAGTGTCTGGTATTGTTGTTCACATGCATGCATCAACCTCCCTGGCTCCTTACCTGATTTACTTACCTATTCATCTTCAGTCGTTTGCTCAGCTCTCTGGGTCCATCACCACCTGCAAAGACACCAGTGTGATTATTCAGCTAAGTCTATGCTCTGAACTCTCCAAGAATATCCATACCTGTGATCATCCCTTTCTCCTCTTCTGAAGCCTCCTTTAATAAACTCTGTTGAATTGTATTACCGGTGTTGTCCTCTTCTGTTTGTTAACATATATCAGTTAATGAATTTTTTTTTTTTTTACCGTAAATTTCACAGATTTTTTTTTTTGTGTACAGCACACGTACATAAAGCAATAAATATTATATAGAAAATCTCAACTGCCCGATCTTTTATTTTGTCACAAAATGTAATTATATTATCGCTCATAATATAATTACATTTGTTGGATATATACTGATATATAGTTGGATACACACTCTCATAGGGCCATATATACCATATAGCCGGGATCCTCAAATCTGGCCCATGAGATCCACTTTCCTGCAGAGTTTAGCTCTAACCCTAATCAAACACACCTGAGCATGCTAATCAATGTCTTCAGGATCATTAGAAAATCACAGGTAGGTGAGTTTGATCAGGGGCAAGTTCAAGCTCAAACCGGTGTGCAACGTTTTGCTACGCTTTCCGGTTTGAACAACATGTTTCCTGAAAACGGTGTGCAACGGGGTTTGAGATACAGGGTGTTCAACGCACCACCGTTTCCGTTTAAAAAACATTTTGCACCGTTTTGTTGGGGCTGAACGCAGCCCAGGATTGGAGCTAAACTCTGCAGCACATTGGCCCTCCAGGGCAAGATTTGAGGAACCCTGCCATATAGCATATCTCAACTGCTTGATTGCTTGTCATGTCGCAAAGTGTAAACTATATTATTGCCCAGGTCTAATCTGCTAAATGTTACTAAAATGCATGAAAATATTATAAACATTAACATCATGATATTATGTAAAGATGCTTTGAAACAAAGTTTATTGTGAAAAGTGCTATATAAATATATTTACAAGTATATTGAGATATGAAGCCAAGATGCATGACTGACCGTGGTTCTCTCTGGCCATTCTCAAGGCCTGAAGTGATGTATCTGGGTTGATTTCAAGCTGGCAAACAAGCACCTTTGCATTTACTATGGCGGTTAGTGCCCGCTGCAGTTCCTCTTGCCCCAAGAGCATATTAGCACCAGCGACAATCACTATGGCATTCTCCCCTGTGAATACAATATATTAACCATGACCACAAGATGCATATAAACATTCAAGGAGACATTACTGGTAATTAGAATGAGATTTAATTATAAATCCATATTTATAAGAAATGATAAAAATAAGAGGTTGCATCATAGGAAAATACAGTGGCTCTAAAAACTATTCAGACATTTAAGTCACACATGTATGAATGCCATTGTATTTGATACAGAATATCAAACAGAATACCATTATTTTAAAGAAATTATCTTGCTATAGTGTCACAATAAGACAGACACAAATAAAGAGTTGGCATAAGTGTTCGGAAAACCACAGAGCAGAGTCAGGAGATATTATCAAAGTTTTTTCCACATTAAAGCTTCCTTGTTAGCCTGCGACATAATTGTTCTAATTCACATTGCTGTGATATTCAAACAGGAAGCTGGAACACTAGGATTTCAATAGGATATTATAGTGATCATGACGCCAAACAGAGCTCTTCTTTGAGTGCTCAATGTGGTGCTAGTGGACTTCCACAAGGCTCAGCACTTAAGCTGGATCACTAAACCATGACATTTACAGTGCAGCAGGCCTTACATTTAGAGGCAGACTGGTTATGTCACCTTTCTTTAAGTCCAATCAGCGCTACATTAAACTGGGTCTAAAATTACCCTGCGTAGGCGAGCTGGACACAGGTAGAGAGCTTCTCACTCATCCATGTCTCATTCAGAAGAGTACTTAATGGTGTTTATGTTATTTTAGGGGCTTTTAAAACTCAGGAGATGCAGCATGGCTCGGTACCCGGACCAATTTCATTTTACCTGTGTCATTTACGATGATAGAGGCAGCTCCAGTTGCAGCATTTTCAGTCTGTTCTACATAGGCTAAAAAGAGAGAGAGAGAGAAGCGGATAACCCAAATTGCTTACCGTATATAAAAACTGAATTGAATCAGAATCAGAATCAGAATCAGAATGAGCTTTATTGCCAGGTATGTTTACACATACGAGGAATTTGTTTTCGTGACAGAAGCTTCCACAGTGTAACAGAATGACAGTGACAGAACAAAAAACACAGATAATAAAAAATAGAACAAGTAAATAAGGAATAAAAAATATACAAATCGACAATCGACAATTGTATGTCCAGGTATAGAACAATAGACAGTTGTATGTACAGGTATATTATGTGCAAATTGAAATGTAGACTGAGTATGTGTGTTAGATAAATAAGTGTATGAGTGAATAAATAGTGTGTGTTCCACAGTTATTGTTAAGTGTTCATGAGATGGATTGCCTGAGGGAAGAAACTGTTCCTGTGTCTGGCCGTTCTGGTGCTCAGAGCACTGTAGCGTCGACCAGATGGCAACAGTTCAAAGAGGGAGTGTGCTGGATGTGAGGGGTCCAGAGTGATTCTGCCAGCCCTTTTGCTCACTCTGGATAAGTACAGTTCTTGGAGAGAAGGGAGGGTTGTACCAATGATTCGCTCAGCAGTCCGGACAACCCTCTGTAGTCTTCTGAGGTCAGATTTGGTAGCTGAGCTGAACCAGACAGTTATAGAAGTGCAGAGGACAGATTAAATGATGGCGGAGTAGAACTGTTTCAGCAGCTCCTGTGACAGGTTGAACTTCCTCAGCTGGCGAAGGAAATACAACCTCTGCTGGGCCTTTTTCACAATGGAGTCAATGTGAGTGTCCCACTTCAGGTCCTGAGAGATTGTGGTGCCCAGGAACCTGAATGACTCCACTGCAGTCACAGTGCTGTCCATGATGGTGAGTGGGGGGAGAGCAGGGAGGTTTCTCCTGAAGTCCACGGTCATCTCCACAGTTTTGAGCGTGTTGAGCTCCAAGTTGTTGAGACTGCACCAGACAGACAGCTGCTCGACCTCCTGTCTGTAAGCAGACTCGTCACCGTCCTGAATGAGGCCGATGAGTGTGGTGTCGTCTGCAAACTTCAGGAGCTTGACAGAGGGGTCTTTAGAGGTGCAGTCGTTGGTGTACAGGGAGAAGAGCAGTGGGGAGAGGACGCAGCCCTGAGGCCACAGTTTCCACAAATCCCTTCACTCGATTGGGATGTTCTCTTTTATTCTGGACGTCAAGGGCAGTGACTGTAACATAGAGCGTATTTTGCAGTAACCTATTAAACACGTATTTATAGCGATTTCGTCAGGCTCCGAAAATTCTTCAAAAAGAACACAAAGAATGGCCTTCTCAGCTGCCACAGTTGCAACTCTTGCGTCATCAAAACAGGGTGTTCAACGCACCACCGTTTCCGTTTAAAAAACATTTTGCACCGTTTTGTTGGGGCTGAACGCAGCCCAGGATTGGAGCTAAACTCTGCAGCACATTGGCCCTCCAGGGCAAGATTTGAGGAACCCTGCCATATAGCATATCTCAACTGCTTGATTGCTTGTCATGTCGCAAAGTGTAAACTATATTATTGCCCAGGTCTAATCTGCTAAATGTTACTAAAATGCATGAAAATATTATAAACATTAACATCATGATATTATGTAAAGATGCTTTGAAACAAAGTTTATTGTGAAAAGTGCTATATAAATATATTTACAAGTATATTGAGATATGAAGCCAAGATGCATGACTGACCGTGGTTCTCTCTGGCCATTCTCAAGGCCTGAAGCGATGTATCTGGGTTGATTTCAAGCTGGCAAACAAGCACCTTTGCATTTACTATGGCGGTTAGTGCCCGCTGCAGTTCCTCTTGCCCCAAGAGCATATTAGCACCAGCGACAATCACTATGGCATTCTCCCCTGTGAATACAATATATTAACCATGACCACAAGATGCATATAAACATTCAAGGAGACATTACTGGTAATTAGAATGAGATTTAATTATAAATCCATATTTATAAGAAATGATAAAAATAAGAGGTTGCATCATAGGAAAATACAGTGGCTCTAAAAACTATTCAGACATTTAAGTCACACATGTATGAATGCCATTGTATTTGATACAGAATATCAAACAGAATACCATTATTTTAAAGAAATTATCTTGCTATAGTGTCACAATAAGACAGACACAAATAAAGAGTTGGCATAAGTGTTCGGAAAACCACAGAGCAGAGTCAGGAGATATTATCAAAGTTTTTTCCACATTAAAGCTTCCTTGTTAGCCTGCGACATAATTGTTCTAATTCACATTGCTGTGATATTCAAACAGGAAGCTGGAACACTAGGATTTCAATAGGATATTATAGTGATCATGACGCCAAACAGAGCTCTTCTTTGAGTGCTCAATGTGGTGCTAGTGGACTTCCACAAGGCTCAGCACTTAAGCTGGATCACTAAACCATGACATTTACAGTGCAGCAGGCCTTACATTTAGAGGCAGACTGGTTATGTCACCTTTCTTTAAGTCCAATCAGCGCTACATTAAACTGGGTCTAAAATTACCCTGCGTAGGCGAGCTGGACACAGGTAGCGAGCTTCTCACTCATCCATGTCTCATTCAGAAGAGTACTTAGTGGTGTTTATGTTATTTTAGGGACTTTTAAAACTCAGGAGATGCAGCATGGCTCGGTACCCGGACCAATTTCATTTTACCTGTGTCATTTACGATGATAGAGGCAGCTCCAGTTGCAGCATTTTCAGTCTGTTCTACATAGGCTAAAAAGAGAGAGAGAGAGAAGCGGATAACCCAAATTGCTTACCGTATATAAAAACTGAATTGAATCAGAATCAGAATCAGAATCAGAATGAGCTTTATTGCCAGGTATGTTTACACATACGAGGAATTTGTTTTCGTGACAGAAGCTTCCACAGTGTAACAGAATGACAGTGACAGAACAAAAAACACAGATAATAAAAAATAGAACAAGTAAATAAGGAATAAAAATATATAAATTGACAGTTGTAGGTGCAGGTATAGTAAGTCTGAATGCTCATTTAAAATCTTTTAATGTTTATAAATTATGATAATAAAGGCAGTACATATGCAGACTTACAAACAGTGTTGATGCAATTTTAACACTGTAGCTTGAAGATATGCATCATTTAAATATCTAATAAATTATAAATAACAGTTGAAATAAATAATACAGTTAATTAAGTTAAACTACGAGTAACTAACAAAATGTAGATAACTACAGTAAGGGACAATATATTTTAAATTATGTCATTATCAGATTTGCAAACTGGTGTTCCAAGAACAGAACTGAACTGCAAAACTGAGAGTTCTTACTCAGTATTTTGGTCTTGTTTTCAAGGAAAAATATCTAAACATCTCTAAAGCAAGATTTTTTTTTCTGTTTGTCACTGTTCATCATTTTGCATATCTACATCGGCTGTTAGACTAATAATGACATAGATATCAGCATGATGAAAGTAGTTGTCATCATGGAAATTAGAGGACATAAAACTGGAAATTTTGCTTCTGCTCATGACCATCATGGCATCATACCATGGTGCTGAACTTTCATCAAGGTACATGCAACAAACACATCAAAGGCATCACTGTATTTTATACATTCATACATACGTATGTCATTTTCATTTACTTACTCTGTTCACATATTTCATATAACGGGAAAAAGGCACCAAATATTTGTGAATTCTGACACAGCTAGGAACTATTGCACATGATGTATTTACGTTACACGCACACTGCAACCCAAATAATGGAAAAATTCATTACTTGAAATACAATCTTATATTTCAAACTGAAACACTATTTTAATAAAATTTCAAATCATCTACAAATTTTTCCTCAGGTTTGTGAATTTTTTATTTTTTTTCTGTTCCAAATTACAATGATGAAAAACTAAATATATTTGAGTTACATACACTGAAAAATCTGATTTTAAAATATATTTGGCTGCTTATCTTAACAAAGCCTTAGATGTGAAACAATGTAACACTGTTTGGCTATTACCAGTCGATGTGCCATTATTTTTGAAGTTTTGAATGTAGTCATTCCAAAAAACGTCTCTGCCGACCTAAAGAGAAAAAGCAACCAAAGATGAAAAGCTGAACTTGAGATGGTATTTTCTAGCAACTCGCTGACCGGTCAAAGTTCTGCATTGCTATATCAGGCCAAGCATTCCAGATATAGCATCCCCAAACAAACGCCTCCACTCTACAAATACAACTTTAATCTCCACCTCTCTCCCTCTTTTCTCTTTCTCTTTCTCTCTATGAGACGTTCAGTGTTGAGGTAAGGGGCAAAAGGCTTCCTTTTTTCCCAGCTGGGTCTGCTTTTATCCCACACTGGTAAAGACATGCCAAGGATGGGGTCCTAAGCCCCAGCAGCGGAGACCCTTCAATACCTGGCCTCCTGTCTTTGAAGTTTGATCTCTCTTTGAATGTTTCTGAAAGCTTAGGAGTCTATTTTTACACACTGCATACGCTTCGATATTGATTGGGGTCTTGCACTGACAAAATGAAGAGCTTTATTGCTTGGTTAGGTTCTCTTGTGTGTTTAAATGCTGAAATACATGAATTGCTGGGTATCAACCTAAACTTTTTGTGTCTATGTGTACTCCAGGCTATATTCAGTTATTTAGGATGTTCAGGAAAGCAGATCATATTGGGTACCTTGCACACCTTGGCAGTCTTGGCCCCCATTCGTGCAGCTTGGATGCATTGATTGGCCCCTTTGCCACCAAAACCAATAAAGAACCTGTGTCCATGTATCGTCTCTCCAGCCTTGGGAAGCCGAGGTGCCTGACTAACAGAAACACATATGGGACTAGGCTGTAAAAAGAAATCCACATTTAATTGTGCTTGTAAGAAAATTCTGTCATCTTTTATTCACGTTTTTCTAAACCATTTCTGTGTAACACAAAAGAACATTATTTGAAAAAAAAGGTCTCATTATTAGTTTTTTTAATTATTATTAATTGTAATTATTATTATTTATTTTTTTTAATTGAAAGATGACTTTCATTATATGGACCAAAACAGTTGAAATATTGTTCACCATATCTTCTTTTGGGTTACACAGATAAAAAAAAGAAAGTCAGCCCCCATTCGTGCAGCTTGGATGCATTGATTGGCCCCTTTGCCACCAAAACCAATAAAGAACCTGTGTCCATGTATCGTCTCTCCAGCCTTGGGAAGCCGAGGTGCCTGACTAACAGAAACACATATGGGACTAGGCTGTAAAAAGAAATCCACATTTAATTGTGCTTGTAAGAAAATTCTGTCATCTTTTATTCACATTTTTCTAAACCATTTCTGTGTAACACAAAAGAACATTATTTGAAAAAAAAGGTCTCATTATTAGTTTTTTTAATTATTATTAAAGATGACTTTCATTATATGGACCAAAACAGTTGAAATATTGTTCACCATATCTTCTTTTGGGTTACATAGATAAAAAAAAGAAAGTCATACAGGTTTGAATTAACTGCATGAAGATGAGTAATTGACGACAAGATTTTCATTTTTGGGTGAACTGTACTTTAAGTACATAAAAGTAAATAAAGAAAAACGAATTGATGAAATTCAGAGAAATTCGAAGTAGATTTTCCATTAAAAATAATTTTAATACACAACGTTTGTATTTAAAGCAACCTATTTAGTTTCCTTAATTTTACATTTTTAATTTTAAAACTGATGAATTAATGCATTGTGGGTGTTCAATCTTTGTACTGCTATGCAATTTGTTTTCAAAGGAACGACAGATGGGCAATTCAGTCAGTTCTCAAAGTCCATATTGTTTCGATGAAAGGGCCTTTTCCTGGAAACATGCTACAGTATGTCTGTGAGCTGTAAGTTAAAATAATATGACATGACATCCTGAGCCCTTCTAAATCTATAAGGCAGGTGCCCTGAACTACCTAAAAAGCTAACTGCTGTGCTGCCTTAGTGCGTGACATTTCATAGCGGGGTCCATCAGCCTTTCACCCGAGCAGAACTAGCAGCTATTACTCATTCTATTGAACAACAGAAAAAAACCCTCAATCCCAGACATCTAGTTACGGTCTGGCCCCAATCCAAGTCTCCAGGAGCCCATGTTTATGTGATGGCAGAATAGGCAGATAAAGTTGTTTTTCACATGTGTGTTGTTTGTGTGGTGTGGTTAGTGGGGGTTATGAGCAAACATCCTGCCGAGATTTCAGTAAAATGAGTAGTAAGTGAAGAGATTTCAACTGGTTATGATGTTTTTTTAATTAACTGTGGTATATTATGTTGATAAAGATCAAATCTGAACAAGTTCAAATGAAGAACTAATGGAGAATGTACTTGAGTAAAATTACATACTTCATGTAAAGTGAATACAAGGCAATAAATAAATAAATGAATTAATATTGTATTGTTAAAAGATAATTGTTAATAATAAATAGTTAATTGTTTCCATTAGTCTGCAATATGAGAGTACATGCTCTACTTCACAACCTGTACCCAACATTTACCCAAGTGTGTGTGACTGAGTCATTGTCTGCGTCGCAGGTTAGAGACAGACTGGCCTCACCCTAACTCCTCGCTTACAGTCCCTCTATTGTTTAATGAGCAACAGTCTTTCTCCCACAAACCAAATTCTGATACAAATGCTGTAACTTTTTTGTGGCAAAAAAAGAATCACAACAGGTGTTCTGGAGCATAGGTTGTGGTGCAAGCAGCTGTTTACTACTTTATAAAAGTAGGACATAAAACAGCCTCAGCAACACTGGAGCAACACAGTAATGTGCATTGTAGTTCATGGGGCAATAGGAGCAAGATTTTGTTGAAAACAAACAAACCAAACCAAACCAAACCAAACCAAAAAAATAAAAAATAAAAAAAAATTCTATGGTAATTTAAGTTTTTCTTTTTTTTTTTTTTTTTTTTTTTTTTTGACAAGTGGAAAATGTTTTTTTTTTTTGGACCATGTTTTTGCATATGGTAATTTGACAGTATTCTTTGAAGTAGGCTATCATGTAAATACCATGTTGTATGAATATGATATACACTGTAAAAAACATTTTTTTTGTTGTTGTAAATAAAACAAAGATTATAAGAATTTTTTTTTTACAAGAAAATAATAGTTCAGTCTTTCTACTTCAGAATTTCTTCTTTAATTCAAGTAATTAAATAATAATAAATTTTTTTTTTTTTGACAAGTGGAAAATGTTTTTTTTTTTTGGACCATGTTTTTGCATATGGTAATTTGACAGTATTCTTTGAAGTAGGCTATCATGTAAATACCATGTTGTATGAATATGATATACACTGTAAAAAACATTTTTTGTTGTTGTAAATAAAACAAAGATTATAAGAATTTTTTTTTTTACAAGAAAATAATAGTTCAGTCTTTCTACTTCAGAATTTCTTCTTTAATTCAAGTAATTAAATAATAATAAATAATAATTCAAGTCGTTTCTTTGTGAAATTTACTAACAATTCCTGAGTGAAAATATATCCTACTACACCATTTTTTGTGTACCATAATAAACATACAAACATACTTTAAGGATGAACACAAATATTAAACTTTGAATACAACACTATCAAAACAACACTAAATAGTGCCACAGTACAAATGTTTTATGTATATGGTACAATGGTATTCTTTAAAGTATCTTTGACTACCATGTAATTACCATGGTTCATCAATATAGTCATCACTTATTGCTAAATGATGCTTTTACCAGTAATAATATATCTATTACAATCTATTACATCTATTACAGTTTGAACCAAAGATAAGGTGCCTGAGGTTTATTGTTATTGTTATAGGAACATTTGAGACCTGAGCCAAGAGTATGCAGAGTTTGAGTGTGCCACATACACACTCTTGACTAACATCGCTTAGCAAGTGAAGTTAGTGAAGGCTCCAGTGAAGGCAAACTAATCGGTTCAAATTGTAATCAGCAGGTGGCACTGTCTGGCTTCACCACAAACACACAGATGTTCCACACGAGACTCGTTACAAAGTGTCTGATTCCGTTTGACTGTCACAAACACAAGCCACATAGAAAACTGGATTTTACACATCAAAGCCATGCATAGCACTCTGATGGGTGAAATGTGTCAGCCGCCCTCCAAAAAACAGCCTGTTGAAAAACAAACACACACTTCCCATCAAAACTATTGCCTAATTGATGCAATCTCTTCTGTTCAAAGGCCAACAGTGATGACCGTATTTTTAAATGGTATAAAATATGAGCAATTGGAATTTTTTCATAACGGGTCATTTGTTTTGAGCACTTGGGGAATGACAAAGAAAGAAATGAGTATGATTTAGTTAAGTTATGTGTGGAAAGAAAAATGCTGACTCTGGATAGCTTAGCATGGTTAAACACGTCTATAAAGCAGAACACCAAAACGTTCCATTATCTTTATGCCACTTTACCTGTGCTGTTTTAAAATATCAAATTAATAATCTTTGAACCATTTTGCACAACTCCACGTTTAGGCCACGTTCCAGTCAAAAGGTTCACCTGAGCTGTAAATACTGCAGCAAAGATGACACACTTGACGCTGAAAAAAACTTGCCGGCGGCAATTGTGACCAGTGAGCAGTGAATCAGTTCCTTGGGGAAATATTAATAATAGACAGAGCAGGCAGAACAGAAGGCAGTTCCCCAAATCTGCCTTTGTCGGACCTTAGTTGGTTCCTGCTGGAAGGACTAATTCCTTTCAGAGTTATTTAAAAAACGTAAAGTCTGCCTTCTGCACGTGGAATATGTTCCACTTCCAGTCTGAGAGTTTGTCACATGAGCATGAAATCATCATATAGGACAATATCTGAGGATTGAGCTTTAAGTTGATAATAGAGGGTGGACACTTGTTCATTATACAGCGCCATTAATGTAAATTTCATGATCCAAAATGCTTTAAAAATTACAACTCAGAGGTTGTGTATCAATGGTCTAACTGCTTACATTTCCTAAATAAAAATGATTATACATTTTTAATAAAAAATATTTCAGTGTCAGAAATGTACTTTTCAGTAAGGGATGATGTATGCCCCCATATAACTGGTATTTTAGAGGCATGAAAATACTATGAAGCCATATTTTTATTAACTGTCTGTCATCTATTATGCTAAATGACTGAATCAATTAATTTAAATAAATTATCTAAAATTAATTTTTGAAAACATGGCTGTTAAATATGTCTGAAAATGTACACAAGCACAAAGGTATTTGTAAATAATTCACAAGATATCATAATGTGAAAAAGGCTCTGCTAGAATGCATGCAATATGATTACATGACTCTCTATTGTTTGCTGTCACAGTAGATTCTTCTGCAATCACTTTTTGTTCTTCAGGACAGAGTAATGCATTACAAAGGCATTTTTGCCCCCACATTTTAAACATGGAGGACATATTTGCCTTGAGCCCATTTTCACTTATGACAATGAAATCCTTTGATGACTTACCTTACTAAGTCAGTCATACAAGAGCCCACCACTCACGTCTTCAGACATGTCCTAATATTTAAAAAAAAGATATATTTATATGGATTATAAATATAAAATAGATTGAATAGATACAAAACTACAACCTTAGATAACTGAAACTCATAAATTTACATTATTTACAGAAATGTTTAATCAAATGTTGAGAAAAAAAAATCGAAGAGCAACATTTAAATGGTTAAATATTGGCAGTTATGCTCTACATTGAGCATGCCT